AAATGGACTTACGTTATTGCCTTGTTGTTTTCTTTGTTGATTACCAGCGTCTCAGGCCATTTTGAAGCGTTTTCGGCGAGTTAGCGCTATTTTGGTGTTCAAGTGCTAAAAAAAAGACAAGTGTCCGTCCGCTTTTCTAGTAGTGAGCTTGGGCTGCCTGTGGATAACCTCGCAGTTTTGTTTGCCTCCATGCACGAACTATGGAAAACTGTTACCTTTAATTTTTTACATATGTATCCTTTCCTGTTTTTTAATGTTGATATTGTAACTAAAACTTGAGTGCTAAATAAAGTAAAGTTGAAGTTGAATATTTTTTAATATTCCCCAAGACAAAGTTGAGGGGATTATTCAACAATATTCATTGAGCCTGAGGCAAATGGTTGTCTTAGTATAGTTGCTCACGAGCTTCCAAATTTGTGTTGTAAATTCTGTAAATGAAGAAAGCATTGTGTATTTTTTGTTGCAATTGTGCCGATTACTTGTATCAAGATAAGCAAGGAGTTTAAAGGTTTTTTTTTAATTCAATCAGCCAAACTTCATAAAATTATTGTCCTTTAAAAAGTGCTCCGTGGACCTGATTTGTAGTGGAGTAAGAAACTAGAATAATCTCCAATGGTGTGGGTGACGCTTCTCTTGAGAAAATAAGTAACACTTCTTTGGCTAATCGTGTCATTTTCTGTTTATTAGACGCAACTGAGATGTTTGCTTTCAATTGATGTTTTTTCTTCAGAGGTGGATCCTGAATTCCAACGACTGAAAGAAGAGCACTTGGTTAAAATGGCGTCATTGAGACAAGAAGCAGAGCTGTTAAAACAACAAGCTGAGGTGGAGAAAATGAGAAAACAACTGAAAGATCTCAGGGGGGAGAGTACAATATCACTTGAAGAAAATAGAAAGGTATGGATGTGTTTGAGAACTGTTTTAACCTGGCTCAAATGCACTTTGACCCACTCCAAGAATTGTGAATAGTGCCAAGGCGCTTTCTGCGGTAGATGTTGCGTTTAATACGTGTTTTACGGAAACAGCTTCTTGGACAGAATTTCAAATGCTTATTTTGTTACACATTAATTAGTTTGTATTAATCTCCAGTTATTTTAGGAGAGGAGTTTTTGCAGGAGCCCTGTGTGACAGTTATTGCTTACTTAACCCTTAAACTCCCAGAAGTGATTAACTTGTAACGTTCTCCTTTTATAGCCGGACATGTGCATGTATACCCAACCTCGTTCCCAGGGTCTCTCATCTTCGGAGCGAGCGAGGAGCAGGGGTGGGGAAGACGAGAGACCCTGGGAACGAGGTTGATGTATACTATTCAGCAAACAGGTGATAAGATTACTCAAACTTATCAGGTGGAAGATGTTACCTTTCTCCAACACGAAATTCTTGTAACTAATTTGCAAGGAAATGTGTAGCAGCTAGAAGGGAGAATTAGCAATTGGATCAAGAATGAAAAGGTTAAGATATGGTTGCTATGAGTTTATAATGAATGCGTCACGCTGACGTATTGCTTTACGTTCTAAACTACAGAAGTTTGAGTCACCATTCACATTAACAAATACGAGTACAAACAAAGAATTACAGCCGAGTCCTTATGATCCAAAGTAAGTAACACAATTAAATGATTTGACTTTGAGTTTCCTTTTTGAACGTTTGCCTCCGTTTCATCTGGCTTGTAATGCGATGCACGTGTTCTATAACCCTCACTTTCAAAACGAGGCTAAGTACGAAACCTTTCGTGGGAGAAATGAGTTTTATTTGTACGTGAATAGCATTTGTCTTGCCAAAGGGCACGCCCAAACCCTCCGGAATGACTCAAGGGCAGTTGTCTCCACAAATAGTTAAAATCTGGGTCTTCCACCTGTATATACAAGAGAATAGAGAAGACTGCCTGTATGGCTAATGATGTACCATTCATCTTGTAGTGCTGGGTTTGCCGTTTTCTGGGATTTTGTTCTTGGCATGAACTCGTCCTTTTCCAGATGTAGACTTGCTGCTGGGGTGTACCAAGGGGCAGAAATAGCGACAGATGTCAAACTGTTACCAATTGTTAAAACAACAGTCATCACCCGACAGAGCCATCCCACAATCCCCCCTGGTGGAGCAGGAGTTATTGGTGTAAAGCATCCATTTCCAAGGTATTTGCTTGGTGCACATGACCACAAACTGGCCTTGTAGTTTACTAACATTTGTGCTACCATTTCTTAAGATGTATGCCTGATCAGAATCTTGGCCTCGTTGTGGAGCTACAAGCAAACAGTCCCGAGGACTCTAATGACCCAAATGAGCTGTTTTCAAAAGGCTGGACCAGGATTGATTTGTTTGATATGAGTAACCGGTTGTTCAGTGGAAGGTACGAAAGTTCATTTATAATTCTCTTAGTTATTTCAGTGGGTATTTTTTTTATAAAGGCCGATAGTTTCGAAAGAAATTGTTTGTGGCTGCGTCGGTGGGAGTAACGAAATAATTTGGATATATCAACAAAGTTGAAATGGTAAATTGGCCACCGTAACGATTACAAAAGCTGACGTTTCGGGCGTTAGCCCTTCGTCGGAGGTATTTTTTTATGTTTGATGGAATCCAACTTATCGTGGTTTTTTTTTTATGTTTCAGGTGGAAAATTCCGATCAGAATCCCTCCAATTAAAGCATTTCTTAGCACCCACGAACTTAACATGATACCACAGGTTGGTTTGTTTTTCTCTTTGGCCTGTTCGCCTTTCGGCTAGTTTCTTAATATCGTATAACTGGTAATTTTTCTAGCACGCATCCTGCTCATCTAAGAGTAAATTTGAAGAGGAGAGGGGAAGTGAGGTAACCGGAGAGGGGTGGAGAAGGAATTACGGTGTAACCCCCTCCTTCTTGAAGGAGCCACTTTGCAACAGTTACTGGGCAACATGGTTTGTACATATTGAAAAATTCAGCAATATCAGTTTTGGAGGTTGGTCAATTGCGATCCATTTTAACCTTTGCCATGCTCAAACTTTGCTTGTTCCATTTCAGTTTGATCTTCCCATTTTGATGATTTTTCCTTGTACCATATTTAGTATTTTGTGGTTTCCTGTCACGTTGGAGAAAAATTGAACAGTTGTTAAAACCCTTTGACCCCTGATCTTACATGAAGGTCGCAAGAATAAACTGAGCTCTTGATTGTCACGCAAATTCTCCTTGTCAGCATCTTTGGATATGTATGCAGAATAGTGTGGAGAATATGCATACTGATGTTAGGATGTGAAAGGTTAACAGTGTAGGAATGAATAAAGTACTGTGTCGGTGGGAGTAACAAGGTAATTTTGGTTTTATCAACTGAGATGACCTGCTCCCAGTTGGCTTGTTAGCTCAATTGGTAGAGCGCTGCACTAGTATCGCAGAGGTCAGTGGTTCGAATCCCCTACAGGTCTGAATTTTTTCAGGTCTTTTTTTTTCTTTTTTTTTTTTTCAGGTCTGCTTGTTACTATTGCTTAAATAGTGCTCAGTTACTGCGAGGATCGTGCACAAATATGAGTTGATATTGTAAATTGCCCACCGCAAAGAGCTGACGTTTCAAGCGTTTACCCTACGTTGTTAGCTCTTCGTCTTTCGCTCTGTTGAAGCGCTAACGCTCGAAACGTCGGCTATGAAACTCTCTGCGGTGACCAATTTACACTATCAACTCAGTGTATGCAGGGCCCCAGGTGATATATTTAGTAGTTTATCAAATTTGATTTGACTTCTGTATCGTTAAGGTTGGACTTGCAGAGCTTTATCTTAGACTTGTGAACAGTCGCGACGTTCCCTCACAAGATACACAGAACCCTCAGCCTCTTCAACATCACATGTACAAGTATCCATCAGTGGTAAGACGCAACAGCAGAAAACAGTATATAAATCCTTACCCGAAACTGTGACTGAAAACGAAAACCCCGGAACAACACAGGGAATCTTACCAATACAAAATGGCCATTTTGTAGAGCGTATTTCAATAGCCCATTTCCGAATTGCCTTTAGCCTCTTTTTCAAAGCGAGTCCTGGTGCTCATCCTTTCGTATGGTAACAAGTTTTCACTCACATGCAAATTAAACTCATTTTCATACGTATAGTTGAGCACCAGGCCTCGTTTTGAAAAAGAGGCCAAACGTAATTCGGAAATGGCCTATTGAGCGTCATAAAACCAAAACTAAAGTAATCACAACAGCCAATCAGAAGAAAAGAACTGTCCTAGTGAGCCAATGGGAGATCAGAATAAAACATGCAAACTGCCTAAAAAGCATGGTCGAGAGGGTGGTGCGAGGTTATTTGACCAATCAGAGACCGTCGCGAAGCGAACCCAATGCACTTCCGGGTTACTTTCAACACTTAATTGAAAATGCTCCATCAGGTAATACTACAGAATTCTCCCAACTCAACCCTACCCCTCCCAATTTCTCTACACTCTATCCCGAAGAAGACTTTATGTAACAGGATGCAGTCGAAACGTCGCGAATCACATCCCAAGTGTCCACATCGTGAGACAAACGATCGCATTTCGCTTTTAAGTGTTATTTACCGCGATTAAAAAAAAAAAACCACAACCTATTTTACGATATAAATTTTATCCTATATTTTGTCAAAAGGGTGAGATGTCTTTTCAGAAGTGTTTTAGCTATTTCTTTATTATTTCCACAAACACTTTCATTCATTATTTATTATTTATTATTATTTATGGTTTAGGAGAACATTCGTGTCATTCCTCAAGTTTCTACGCTGTCTGTCAACCACAGCTCACCAAATTTTTCCCCAGCGCCACCCCCGTCAGTGCCTCCCCCTCCCGACACCCCAGTGGCTGTTTCACAGAGAGCGGAAAGGTAATAGTGTATACAGAATGGCAAATCCTTTGAGACAACTCAAGAGCTGACCTGTAGTCACAGTATTGATGTGACCTTAACAGGCTGCTCAAATGAACCCTTGCAGTGACCAACGGGTATTTTCTCCTTGATGTATCAATACGTTATCCAGTAGACTAGTGATGAGAATAAAGAA